AGAGGGCCCCTAGACGCAAAAATTGGCCCATTCCCTTCGTAAAACGTACATTTTCAACAAAGTTGTCTTTTGGGCTTTCCGACGTTACAGGACGGCCCAAGAGGCGCCCAAGACCGCCCCAAGACGGCCCAAGAAGCTTCCAAGAGGGCCCCAGGACAGCCCAAGAGGGCCCCAAGACGGCCCAAGAGGCGCCCAAGATGGCCCAAGAGGGCCCCAAGACGGGCCCAAGAGGGGGCCCAGAGGGAACCCCACGTGGGCCCAAGGAGGCCCAAGAGGGACCCAAGAGAGCCCCAAGAGAGCCCCAACATCGGTCACGCGGAAGAGCTCTCGCGTGACCGATGTTGGGCCCCTCTGTGGGCTCCTCTTGGAGCTCCGAGAGGAGCCAAAGATGGCCCCACGAGGGCCCCGACGAGACCCCAAGAGGACCCAAGCAGGCCCAAGAGGGACCCAAGAGAGCCCCGGCATAGGTCACGCGGAAGAGCCCTCGCGTGACCGATGTTGAGCCCCTCTTTGGGCTCCTCTTGGAGTTCCAAGAGGGGCCTACTCTGAGGCATCTTGGGCCTACTCTGAGGTGCTTCACCCTGGTCGCACCGTGGTGCTCCTGCGCGCCATTCTGGCTGCGCTTCAGCTCCGGCTGGCCAATTCACTCGCACACAATTCGCCTCGTGGAGGCTTCGGCCCACCTGGTTTTGGGCACCCTGGTACTTTCGCAGTCTCTCGGGTGCTCCAAGTCATCAGCAGCTTGCAGACCCTGGCAGTCGGCCTCCCTGGCAGTCAGCCCCCTCTGCAGCCCGATGCATGCGTGCAACCCCTGGCAGTGCAGCAACCCGCTTCCCTCTTCGGCTTCCTCCTGGTCTCGTTCTGAGTGGCAGTGTTAGGCTTGCTCCTGGTTAATTAGGCTCTCGCGCGCCCCGCCCGGACCGGGACTCGCCGCTGGCGCTCTCGCCTGCGGCTGCCGACAAAAAAGTATCGCCACCAGCCTCCTTGATGTTTCAGTGGCTTCCTGGGCCGATGGTGCGGGAGTTTACGGTGTCGAGTATTTCCACCGTGTCCTTGGCAATTTGCCCGTCCCTGGGTAACCTCGTGGACGGACTCCTCAGGATCAGTGCTTCCCTTTGGGGACCGAGTGTGCGACTTTGGTGGCGCCACTCAGTGCACCAGGTCGGGCCGTTCGGCACGCTTGGCAGTCGTCGCAGATACCGACTCGCCGCTTTCCTGGCTCCACCCTGGTGTGCAGCCCGCGCCATTTTGGCCGCGCCCCAACCGTGGTTGGCCAATTTGCGCCATGCCCTGGCTCAGCCCCTGGCAGCCGCAACTTGCACCCCCACCCTCCGGCCCTGTTCGCCGTGGTGACGCCTGAGGCTCCGCCGCTTTAGGTAATTAGTCTTTGCGCGGCCCGTTCTGACTCGACTTGCCGTGTGCGCTTTCGCTCGCGGTTGCTGACAACAAAGTATCGCCGCCAGCCCATCCAGATACGTTCGGAGGCGTTTTTGAGGTCTCATGGAGGCTATTTTGGACCATGCTCGGCTAGAGGCTGACGGAGGCTACTCTGAGCCATGATCAGCTATCTTTGACTATCTTGAGGTTGTCATGCGGCCTCTTGGAGGTCTGTCCGAGGCTATATTGAGGCATGCTCGACCTCCTGGGACCTTGGGGGTATGAGGAGGAAGAGGAGGAAGAGGAGGGGTAGGAGTAGGAAGAGGAGGAGGAGGAAACAAAGAGAAGGAGGAGGAGGAGGAAAAAGAGAAGGAGGAGGAGGGGGAGAGGAGGAGGACGAGGAATGCTGCACGATGATGCTGAGGAGGAAGACCAGGAGGAGGGATGAGGCAAGAAAGGTGGAGGGACGGAACGGACGATGACAAGGAGGATGAACAGTCGAGTTGTGGAGACATGTTGTTGTGATAGGTTCTTGAAGGACGATTCAAGCCATCTTGCAGTGAGCGCACTGATTTGCTAGTGAGGTTTTGCCGCAGGCGGGTGGAACGCTCGCGCTCGGTAGAAGCGCACGGCTTCAACCCACGCCGCGTGCGGCTGGAAACGCTCGTGCCGGGTGAAAATGCATGGTTGGAACCCACGCCGTGCGCGGCTGGAACGCTCGCGCTCGGTGAAAGTGCATTTCTGGAACCCGCGCCCTGGGCGGCTGGAGCGCCCCCGCTCGGTAAAAGTGCATGGCTGGAACCCGCGCCGTAGCCGGCTGGAACGCTCCCGCTCGGCTATAAACTGCATGGGTGGAGCACACGACGCGTGCGGCTGGAACGCTCGCGCTAGGTAAACATGCGTGGCTGGAACCCACGCCGCGGGCGGCTGGACTCTCGCTGAGCTGGAACCCACGCCGTGGGCGGCTGGAGCACTCGCGCTGGGTAAAGATTAGTGGCTGGAACCGACGCCGAGGCGGCCGGAACGCATTTCCTCGTAATGGCTGAAGGTTGAAAGCTCGTCTCGGTCCGTCCATCGGTCGGTCCGTCGGTCGTCATCGGTCGTCGTCTCGGTCGGTCGAACGGTCGTCGTCGGTCGTTGTCGTTTCGGTCGGTCGGTCGGTCGGTTGTTCGGTCAGCTCGCTGGTCGTCGGTCGGTCGGTCGTCGTCGTCTCGGTCGTCGGTCGCTGGTCCTCAGCGGGAATTCGCCCATGCCGTGGCGTGCTCTGAAAGCGCGCCACATTTGAACCAAAGCGGCTACGGATGCAACGAGGTTGAGAACAAGACGTCGGACCCCAAACTTGCCCGACATGATCTGCTCATCGAGAATCACCCAACAATAGTCCACTGACTGTAGGGGCTCTCTTGGGTTCCCACGGGTCTTGGGGCCCTCTTTGGGCTCATTTTGGAGGTCTTGGGGCGGGCCCTCTTGGGGCTCATCGGGGGGGATCAGGGAGGCCCCTTGAGCCCAATGGGTCAAACAAAAAGGAGTGTACCCAGTTCAGGCGCCCCCCATCGGAGACTCAAAAATGGCGTCTTGCGACTCTCTTGGTTTTCTCTTCGAGCGCTCTAGGGCGCTCTGGGGGCTCTCTTGGGGTCCTCTTGGGCTCTTCTTGATGCTTTTTAGAATTTTCTAGGGGCCATCCCAAGGCCTCAGAAACCCATTAGGAAGCGAAACAACGATAACGCAACAGTAATTGATTTCTCCTTGGTTTTTGGAAGGGATTCTGGCTCCTTGGAGGGTGCGTTCAGAAGGCCCGAAGGGCACTTGAAACTGCCTTGGGTCTGTCTTGGGGCCTCCTGGAGAAATGTAGGAGGCTATATTTGAACCATCACCTGCTATCTTGTGCCACCTTGGAGGCCGCGTTGGATTGCCGAGGACTCTGTTGGAGCCATCTTGGGCCCTTCTTGAAACTCTTTAAGTACCCGTCCCCCCCCCTCCCAGGCCCAGAGGAGGGGGTATGGTCGAGGGGTCGAGGCCCCCCCCTTTCGCCCTCAAGCTGTCTCGCTCACTGCCACCCGCCCTCCCAGTGCATAAGGAGCGCCCGAGGGAGTCTCAGCATACAGTCGACCCGCAGAGTAAGGATAGGCATCGCTCCCAAGGGTACCCTTGCATCCTTGCTTCCTGGGTCCATCCTTGGACACTTTCGTTGGCCGCGCCCCGCTCGAAACGCTTCGAAATGGGCGTCCAAGGGCCTTGCATACTTATCGCGCATCCTTACTCTGCGGGCTGACTGTATTGCTCAGGAGCGCCAAGCACGGCATCTGCGCCTCGGGTTCCAGGTGCAACAGTCACCCTGGAGGACGAAGCGAGCCAGGCGCGCCAGGTGCGGCACGTGCTCCACATTTGAACATTATGCCGGCATTCCTGCCGTAACAATTTGACGGCCGTCCCTGTTAAAAACCCACGCCACATTGTCGCGTGGCGCCCGCGCATGCTCCAGATATGGAGGCAAAGTGTGTTCTGTAGTGTTTTGTTGACAGGGGTGGCTGGCATGAGCGCAGCGGACAGTACGACGGCACCCACGCCGTCCGTGCCCCCCAAAAAATGCATAATCGGGGGGCGCCCGCGCATGCTCCAGGTGTAGAAGCAAAGGGCATGTTGCATTGTTTGTTTGAGGGATGGTTGGCCTGCGCGCAGCGAACAAGATGACGGTACCCCCGCCGTCCTCATCAAAAACCAATGCCAAATGGTCGTGGGGCGCCCGCACATGCTCCAGATTTGGAGGCAAAGTGCAGTCAACATTGTTTTCGACAGGGGGGGGGGGGCATGTCTCGGGTTGGCCCACGGTCGGGTGGGGGAGGGGGCGTATGCTATTAAGGAGCAGTGGTAACCCCTCCCCCGAACAGGGAAGGAGTGGGAGAGAAGGCAAAACTCGCCAAACCACCTGCGCCCGAAAGGGCCAGTGGGACTTGCGATGTCAGGTGCTTGGGCGCGGCTAGAACTCAGGCGCGCGCGAAGCGCGTGGCTCTAGTGTGTGTGTGTATATCTGAACAGAGATATGTATGTAGACGCATTCATATAGACATTCGTGCCTGCACGTGCAAATATATGCAAACATCAAAGAAATCACGTTTTCACTTTACACTGTAGCACAAGCGCGCGACGTGATATCAGGAGCGGCGGCGACGACGACGCCAATGCCGCTGCCCGCCTCTCAGCGCCGCCGCAGTTCGCCGCCGCAGACCGCCGCTGCCGACGGCCGCCTACTGGCCGCCGCAGGCCGGGTCGGCTCAGCTGGGCGCCTCCGGCGCGCGCCAGGCGCGCCAGCGCGCGCCAGTGCGGCCGATGGCCCCGCTTCGCCGAGCGGGTGCGCCCAGGTTCTGAAGGACGGACGTTCTAAGAGGAAAACGGCGCATACACGCGCACTCCCGGAGCTCCGCGCGGATTTCTTAGATCGGCGCTGGGCCCCCCTGGCGGCGCCTCTGGCGCCGTCCCCGGCTCGCTCCGCGCGGCGGGGAGGGGGCCCGGCATTTATCCAAGAAATCCGCACGGAGCGCGGAAGGTTCATGTTTGTGTTATGTTTCTCTTTTCTAGGCCTACACTTCCCTCCCCGAGGAAGGCGGTCCGCCCCGTCCCTGGAGGCGCGCTGCGAGGCCCTGGCGAGGATGGCGAAGGGCATGCTGGCCGTCGGGGAGGAGGGCGACGCCGCGGCCGAGGACGGCGCCATGCCTGCCTGAGGCTTTTGCCAGAGGGAGGAGAAGCGACACCACCACCACCACCAGCGGGCCACCTCCAGCGAGGAGGCTCACGATGCCTCCCCGAGCTGGGGATAGCGGATGTCTCGAGCGAGAGGGGGGGCACACTTACAGGAGGACACCTCTTAGCAAATTGTCGCCATGAAGCACTCGGGCACTGCCAGGAGTGCCTGGTCCAGCTGTCCCAGGGATCCCCAAGGAGGCCCCAGCAGCGGCCTCCAAAGCACCCCTCACGAGGCCCAGAGGGGCTCCAGGAGCTCGAAAGTAGTGCGAAAAGCTGGGGACCCTGTGCGCCAAGGACATTTCTAGAAACCCCCGAAACAGATGATTCCCAAGGGGAACGGGACCTGAGGCTCACTGCCGTTTTCGGGTTTTGGGGGCCTTTCACGGGGCCCGGGGGCGTCAAGAAACAATTCTGGGTGAGGAGCTCGTCCAGGGGAACCTCTCAGGCTCTGGGGCCCGTTTTCCTTTAGGACTCTTTTCCCTTCATGTCAAGCTTGGCCCGCCTGGGATCGTCGTCGTCATTTCTGAGTCGCCATCGTCCTCGAACGGTGACGCCTTCTCTGTGTTTCTCGTCACATGCGTCCTCATTTCTTTTCAATGTGCACTTCTGCTAGACCACCTCGCGGGCAGATAGGAGCCGCGTCCAACCCATGAAATAGCAGTGCAACGTCTGCACTGACGTGTTGGCGTCGACGTTGCAACATGCGCGGCAGGAGTGGGACGAGGCGCACATCGCGCGACATGGCACAGTGTCGCTCTCGCCTCGCAGTCGCACACCTTTTTCCTGAGAGTTGCGCTCCCGCTGGGGCGCCGTGCACGCTTCTCGCCCGCCGATCAATCCATCGACGCTCGAGTAGGCGCAGCGAGCGCCATCGCCTCGGCGCCGCGCAGACTTTGCCCGACTGCGGCGCTCCCTCGTCGGCGCGGCGCGTCTCTTTCCCTCGCCTGGCCGCTAGGGGCGGCGCCGCGCGAGATCGGGCGGACCCGCTGGATCGCATGGCAGCGGCCGTGGCAGCGGCGCCGCGGAGTCCGCTGGATCGCATTGCAGCGGCCGTGGCAGCGGCGCCGCGCGAGAGCGGGCGGACTGCCGTCCTCGCCCTGGCGCGTGAGCGTGGCATAAGTTTTTTTTTCCGGCGCGGCACACGCTTCGTCTTCACCGCGTGCATCGGGAGTGTCGCCGCCCGAGGGAGGGCTGAGTGGTGCCTTCGCCGCAGCGGTGCGCAATAACTTTCTGGAGTCTGCTCGTGCCCGTGTGTGCGGCTCGCTCTTTCCTCCACTTGCCGCGTCGCCGGGAGTGGGACCGCGCGCGAGCCCGTTCACTAGGTGTGGACGCGTTCTGGTCCCAGCACCAAGAAATGCCGTTCTTGATTATCGTGCTAGGGGGGGAGTGTGGGATTGGGCGGGGCCTGCTGACCCGCTCGGCCTGGCAAAGCTGCGCTCACTGCCACTCGTCCCTTCCCGTCCTCCCGTCCTCATAAACCTTTTTTTCCCATGTTCCCACCCCGCTTCACCCCATCCCTCCTTCCCAGAGTGATCTTTTCGTCCTTTTCGCCCCTTTTATACCAAGGCATATGTCCCGGGGCCCGGCAAAGGCTTTCGAGGGCCGAAAACGGTCAAACATTGTGGTCGTCACCGCTTCAAGACGCGTTGGTATCAATGTCCTTCTCTTCCCCCCTCCCGCCTTCCCCCATTCCCCTCAGGGATAACGTTAGGAGGGATGGGCTCAGGGGGGATGCCTCGATTGCCAATCGCCCATTCATCGCCGATAGCGGCCCGATAGCCCACCCCGCCCAGTAAGGTGCGGTTTCGCCGTCGGGGGCGTATTTCCGATCTATCGGGGATGCATCGCCAATTCCAGGTCGATGATTCCCCCTGAACCTGTTCCCCCGTAATTACCGTTCCCACTCACCGTACAGCACATTCGCGTCATGTCGCAGCGTCGGCGAACCTCCAGCGCGGGCGTTTGAGTTCAAGATTGAGCGCCGCCTGTGGCTCGGAATCGGTCGATCTTAGGAACGTTACGGCGATCGAACCGCCGCGGATCGTTCAAGGTTGAACGATCTGCGCGGTGTCTGAAACTGGCGCCGTCTCCCGCCCTTATGTTTCCCCCCCATCCTCCCCGTCGTTCCCCCTCGTCCCCGTGCCTTTCCGTTCCCTCCCTCCTGCAGGACACGACAGGACTCTTCCCTCCTCGCCCATCGCTCCACCTTTCGCAACATTACATTTTCTGTTTGTTCCGTACAGCACAGCGCATTACTACGTAGCATGTTCCAGAGGCCACGGCCTCCTTCACTTTGTCTTAGCTTGGCCTGGAGGCCTATCCACAAGACGCTCGCTCGTTTCCATCATCGCCCCAATCCCCCACAGGACGAGCGCAGGCGCTGGTCCGCCTCGTCCCTGGAGGCGCGCTACGAGGCCCTGACGACGATGGCCAGGAGCATGCAGGCCGTCGCGGAGGGGGGCGACGCCGCGGCCGAGGACCGCGCCATGGTTGCCTGGGGCACTGGATCGGAGGAAGGAGAAGCGACTCCACCACCACCAGCGGGCCACGTCCAGCGAGCAGGCCCACGATGCTTCCCCGAGCTGGGGACATCGGATGCCGCGAGCGAAAAGGGGGGGGAGGGCAGGCTCCTCGCGCCTGGTGGTGGTGGCGACGCATTTCTTGATTCTCATTCTCGGGCGATCGCAAACATGGATCAAAGGGGGCGCGGATTAGCGACGGGTTCCGTTTCCATGGGTAATCACGGATTTCCGCAGCGAACGAGGGCGCACCAGCCGCATTTTGGGGAGGGCACCTCCCCCGATCCATGGATTTGGCGACCGCGCGCCAGATCCACGGATCGCTAATCCATCTTTTACGCGCCCCCGACTTTCTGCCACCGCGCAGCGGAGAGATCCCCAGGGGAAGCGGGTCATCAGTTTGTGGTCACCGCTTGCGGGCGCCCCGGGCCCTCCCTCCCGCGGGCCCTGGGAGCGGCAGAGGGCGGCTCGGGGTGGGGAGCCGGCCGGGGGGGGAGGGGCTCGGGCTCAAGGGCCGGGCTGCTTCGGGGCCCTCTCTCCCTTCATGCCAAGGTTGTCCCTCCCGCGGGGAGCGTCGGCGTCGCTTCCGAGCTGCCATCCTCCTCCAAGGCCTCCGCATTCTCCGCCCTTGCCCTCCCCATGTTGCTCTCCGTCTTCCGGGGCCCTCCCGCAGGCTCCGGAAGCGTCAGGGAACAACGGCTCATGATAGAGAGCTGGCCCGGCTCGTTCGTCGGGTCCGCCGCCGTGTTGTCGCCGTCGCCGCCCCCTCGCCATCTCGTCGCCGCCCGTCGTCTGGGCTCGTCTGTCGGATCCGCCGCCATGTTGCCGCCGTGGCCGCCCCCTATGCCGCCCCGTCGCCGCCGTTCGTCTGGACTCGTTTGTTGGATCTGCCGCCATGTTGCCAACGTGGCCGCCCCGTACCGCCCCGTCGCCGTCTCGTCGCCGCCCGTTGTCTGGGCTCGTTTGTCGGGTCCGCGCCCTGCTGCTGTCGTCGCCGCTCGGTCGCCGCCTCGTCAACGAGGAGTGCACCACATATATTCTCTTTTGTAATAAGAGTATTTTGACTTCCCTCGACTTGCAATTGACATATGATCATGATCGATTCGTCATTCTAAGTGCAAATTCGTACCATCCCAGGTAGGCCCGTATCGCCCCCCTCATCTTTTGCAAAATATATTTTGCGCGCGCACTCGCTTATCAAAAATTATCAGTCCTCAAGAACCCCTAGCAACAACTTAGACGAAGTGCACACGCGAGCGCTGTCGCGCGCGCGTGCCTAAATCTTTCAAGAACCATAGTTTGTTGTAATCTCAAAACCGAGTGCCCCGAACCCATATAAAATAGACATGGCTTCGCAGCCAGAGCTTTCAATAAAGAACTTGCGTTCAGGGTCCCTGCGAATTCTTAAGACAACTGTATGGTTTATACACTTCCCATAACGTGCTAGCAAACGGGCCTGCCGCGCGCGCATGTCGAAATCGGTCGAACGCCTTTGTGCTCGTGATGTCGCAAGACTCCCATGCAAAAGGAGGACGATGTACACGCGCGCGGGTCGTCGCGCGCGCATGCGGGAATCCTCCAAAAAACTTGGGCTTCATAAGGCTTCCAAGTTAGAGAGTCCCGACAACATACAAGAGCAAGAGCTTTGGCAACACCAGTTTTCAAAAATGCTGGCGTCACGCCCCTGCGACTTCTCAAGCCAACCATAGCATTTACGAATTCTGCCAAACGGGCCCCTCGCGCAGCGCGTCGAAATCATTCGAACGCCCTGCGCGCGTGCTGGGGGTGTCAAATAATACCGTGCGGGCCACTCTCGCGCGTCGGCCGCGCGCGCATGTCGAACTCTTTTCAAAACATTCGTTTCCGACGCGGAGGCGCCGTCATCGTGGCCACCGTGATCAGCATCGTCGTCGTCATTGGCCTTGCCGTCGTCGTTGTCATCCTCGTCACCAGCATTGCTACTATCATCATCGCATCTACAGTCGTCGAAGTTGCCATGATACAGCGCCTGCCCAAGTCGCCGACTAGCACTGCAAAGCCCGCCGGGGAATGCCCAGCGGTCAGCGCCACCGCTTCCGCGTCGGCAGCGCCAAACTAGGTGACCGTTGCGCTCGCGAACATGCGCGGGCTAGCGCGGTCGCCGAGATGCAGCAGCCAACTCCAAGCACTCATTGCCATCGACGCCGCATGGGTTTTGCAAGCCAGTTTGCGCCTGGCAGGGGGCGCTTATGCGAGCAGCGGTGGAGTGGGCAATTCATTGCGAATAGGAAATTTTGAAGAGCATTCGGTTCGTCCCTCCCCCCAAAGAAATTGAAGAAATGCAGGACCCCGTTTTCTTTTCGCAGTGTACGTGCGATTCTGCCCCATTGTGCACCCTACACTTAAATCCGTTCCATCCCGAGGCCATCATCGCCCCCGCCCCACGTCCTTTGCGAAACAATGTTTCGCGTCTTCGCTTATCAAAATCTCAAGTTTTCCCAGAGTCCCAAGCAACAAACAAGTGGGACGATGTGCACGCGCGCGCGTCGTCGCGCGCGCGTGCTGAAATCCTTTCACACTTGTTCCGTGTTCGCAATAACTTCAAAATTGAGCGCCCCGAAAACATAGAAAACGGCATAGTGTCCCGCAGCAAAAAATTGCACAAACAGTTTGCAATCTGGCTCTTGCGAAATCTTACGTCGGTTTTTGTTCCCGAATTTCCCGGACTTGCTATCAGGCGGGTTTCTCGCGAGCGCATGCCGGGATCGCTCGAACGCCGTTGCGCGCGTGCCGTCGCAAGACTCCCTTGCAAATGGGGCGAGGTGTGCGCGACCACGTCGTCGCGCTTCAACAACCATAGGTTTCGTAAAACTTTCAAGTTCGAGTGCCCCGAAAACATGCAAAGCCTGAATGTGTGGCATTTACAGTTTTCAAAAAAAAACTGCGCTCACGCCCCTTCGAATGCTTCAGAAAGCCATCGGATGTCCAACGTGTTCATTAGATCATGCCAAACGGGACCCTCGCGCAGCGGGTCGAACTTATCCGGGCGCCCTTGCGCGCGTGCTGGGGGACGGGAGGGGGGCGCGATTCGCGTCGAATCAAGCCGCGCGGGCCATTCGCGCATCGGCAGCGCGCGCACGTGCGCACTCGGATATCAAACATTCACGGTTCTCAAAACACCTCGACGAACAATTGGGCGAATTGCGCGCGCGTGGTCGCCCGCGCATGCCGAAATTTTTCAAACGATTCAGGTTTCGCACGGGTTTCAAAACCGAGTGCCCCGAACACGATTACACGCATGTGGCTTCGCCATAATATGCACAATAACGATTGTGCTCGGGTTTTTTGCGATTCCTGAAGACAGCCAGCGGTGTTCCAACGTTTTCACAACTTGCTGCCAAACGAGTCTCTCGCGAGCGCATGTCGGGATCGCTCGAACGCCGGTGGGCGCGTGCTTTCGCAAGAAGCCCTTGCAACAGATGGGGCGAAGCGCGGGCGCGGGCCGTCGCGCGCGCATGCCGGAATCACTCAGACACTGTAGGTTTTGCACGGGTTTTTAATTCGAGTGGCCCGAAAACATAAAATGTGGCTTTGGCAACCAGGTGCAGTTGTGAGTATCGCCGTCGGTGGATTTATTCATGGTGCCACGAAGCGTGCACGGGGTGCGCCGAGATGGGGCGGGGACGCATGCGGGCGCAACCATTGGAGCCTCAGGTGGCGTTCCACTTGGGGCCACGACGCGTGTGAGGGATGTGCCAGAATGGAGCGGGGCCGCCACGCGAACGCCGCCATTGGGGCTTTCTGTGGTGCTCCCTACAGGGCCAGGAGGCGTTGTGCTGAATGTAGGGGGCGCATGCGAACGCCGCCACTGGGGCCGTGGGTGGAGCTCCCTCTGGGGCGACGACACGTTATAATTGGGCGGGGGCGATGCATGCGGACACCGCCAGTGGGTCCTTCGGTTGGGCTCCTTGTGGGGCCGCGAAACGCTATATTCATTGGGGGAGACGCATGCGAACGCCGCCACTGGGGCCTTCGGAAGAGCTCCCAATGGGACCACGAAACGCGGTGCTGGGCGGGGGAAACGCATGCGGGCACCACCATTGGGGCCTTCGTTGGGGCTCCCTTTGGGGCCACGAAGCGTTGTGCTGGGTAGGGGACACGCATGCGGACACCGCCAGTGGGGTCTTCGGTGGAGCTCCCTATGGGGCCACGAAGCGCGGTTTTGGGTAGGAAACGCATGCGAACACCGCCAGTGCAGCCTTCGGTGGAGCTCCCGATGTGGCCACGGAGCGCTATACTGGGTGGGGGAAACGCATGCGAACACCGCCACGGGAGCCTTCGGTGGAGCCCCCTTATGGGGCCAGGAAGCGTTGTATTGGGCGGGGGCTTCGCATGCGGAAACCGTCAGTGGGGCCTTCGGTGGGGCTCCCTGTGGGGCCACGAAGCTTGTGCTGGGGGAGGGACGAATGCGGACATTGCCACTTGGTCCTTCGCTGGGGCTCACGATGGGCCCACGAGAGGCTGTGCTGGAGGGGGGCGGCATGCGAACGCAGCCACTGGGGCCTTCGTTGGAGCTCCATATGGGGCCACGCCACGCGCGAGGGGCGTCCCAAAACAGAGGGCGGGCGGCATGCGAACGCAGCCATTGGGGCGTTCGGTGTGGGGCCACGAAACGTGTGAGGGGTGTGCCACAATGGAGGGGGGCGGCATGTGAACGCAGCCACTGGGGCCGTGAGTGGAGCTCCCTATGGGGCACGAAACGTGTGAGGGGTGTGCCACACTGGAGGGGGAACGCATGTGAACGCAACCGCTGGGGACTTCGGTGGGGCCCCCTATGGGACCACGAAGCGTATGAGGGGTGTGCCAAAGTGAAGGGGGGGAAGGGGGGAGGGAGGAGGGGGTAGGAGGAGAGGAGAGGAGCTGCGGGGAGTGTCTTCGCAAAACGAGGACCCAACACCACAGGATGGTTGGGAAACACA